ACACGGACACGGCAGGGACATGGACAAGATACATGGACACAGGGACTCAGTGACACAGAGGGACACAGGCACAGAGATACAGGGACACGAGGGCACAAGGGCACACAGACCCAGAATCACGGAATCAGTCAGGTCAGAAGGGGTCACATTGCACAGGATTGTGTCCAGATTGTTCTTGAATGTGTCCAGTGACGGAAACTTCACAGCCTCTCCGGGCAATCTGTTCCAGTGCTCCATCACCCCCACAGTAAAGTTCTTCTTCATATTCAGGTAAAATTTCCTGTGCATCAGTTGCTGCCTATTGCCTCTCATCCTGGTGGCTGGCACTACTGAGAAGAGCCTAGCTCCATCTTCTTGGCATCTGCTGTTCAGAGCCATGCCTAGTTCGATGAGGACACACGGACACAGAGCTCTGGCGTGTGCACAGAGCCCACGCACGGGCCCGCACACGGGAGGTGTGTGCTGCCCTGGTGGGGTCTGCACACCCAGGAGCTCCTGGGACCGTGTGGGCTTGTGCCTGTTTGGCACTCCCACCCACACTCAGGGCTTTGCAGGTGCAGGTGTCCCACGTGTGTGCTGCTGTGCTGGGTGCGCCTGCTGGCACGTGCAGGGCAGGCTGCAGCTCTGCTGGTGTCCCCGAGCTCTCTGTGCTGCCATGTGGACATGACACCTTTTCTTTTGTACCATCTTGACCCTCTATCCCTCTATCCGTGTCCCTGCAATGTGTTTGCCAGAGCAGCCCAGGTTTGTCACAGGGTCTGTGGCACAACGCAGGAGCCAGTGTGGTCTCCAGAGGGCCCAGGCATGGCAGGGGTTGGTCTCTGAGTGAAACATTCCCATTGCTCAGCCACACCTGGAGATCCCAGTTCCCAGCCAGATCCAGGGCAGTGCTTGCCCACCCGATGGGGCTGCATGTTCCCACCCCCATGGGCTTGCATCACACAGGATGAGGGCTACAGCAGCACCATCCATGTGAGAAGGAAAATAGGAACCCGATGGAGCAGTGATGAAATGATTACACCCAGAAGCTGACACACTTGGGAACAACCATGCAGTTGTTTGTATCCTGGCATGTCCATCATCCTTATAGCCTGAAAAATTGGGTGGGGTGTTTAATTCTGTGTCACAGGAACTGTGGTATTAGGATTTGAAAGTTTAAAGGGATAATGACTTAAACACGGCAGTTGTTTCTGGTCCCTCCCATCCTGGCCTCCTCTGACTGGTAAAGATTAGTGATATACTGGCTTCCTACTCAGCTCCTGTAGCTCTCCCAGGGCAAAAAAGTGCTCTGCAGCACACCCACACCACCAGGATCCCACCAAAATAAGTGTAGAATGTTTCCTGCAGATTTACAGCATTCTACATCCGTGTCATTATTTCTTCATGTCAGTAAAGGCAGCAGGAGATGAGGGTCACTGTCAGCCAAAGCCACAACACAAATTTGCTGGCAGGGTTTAGACAATGGGGAGTGCCCATACATCCAACCCTGGAGAGCTGGAAAGAGTTCCAGGCTCCTGTAGCAAACCATTTCCCTTCAGCCATGGCTGTCATGTTCAGTGCAACCCTGCTGTGGCTGTGCTGTGGCCTCAGAGCAGGGGCAGGCCCCACACAGAGCCCCCCGGCCTGCTGGCAAAAGCTGTGCAGCTGGAAAGGTACAAAAGGCCTGAAGCAGGTATTTTTATTTCATTTTTAATGACTTGCATGAATGCTATTCAAGCAGAGTTGTCGTGGTGCCTGCTGAACACCTGCCAGGGCAGACGCAGCGCCAGCGGGCACTTGGCACGTGCAGCAGCAGTGGGCAGGAGGTCAGGCAGAGCCTGCTGGTGTTCAGGGAAAAGCCTCTGGAAGACAGAACAAGGGAGCAGCCCCAACTCTTTATGTCTGCTTACAAGTACAGTCAGAGCTGGCCTCTTGGGAGGGCAGAACCAGTCTCATTGAGGCAAGAGAAGGACACATATAGACATTGGGGCTGGAGTGATGCTGAATCTCTGGATATTTTTAGATTTAAAAGGGCAAAATCTGATTTCCAGCAAGGAGGTCTGCTGACTTAGCAGCAACACATGCCTACAGCCCTGCACTGGACAACTTTCAAGACCCCCAGCCTCAGTTCCCAGGCTGCAGGACTGACCCGCCATGTTTGGATGTTGCTGCAGCTAAGGCAGTGCCCACAGTGTAACTCAGACACTGTAGATTCCTGGCAGGCCCAGAAGCATCAAGACAAACTTTGGAAGCGAACATGGGGCTGTGTAATGAACAATTTTTCCCCAGAACCAATACTTGCACATCACAACTCATACCCTTTCCCATGCATTTACTGGAGGACTCACAGCAAGAGCAGAGTTTCAGGTCTACACTTCAGGGTTTCTTTCTTTCACCCATTAGCACTGACTCAGTCAGTTGTGCTGCAAAAGTCAGAGCAAGACAAAAAGAGGGGGAAAAGCGACACGGGGAATGACAGCAAGGAGAACCTCTGGGCTGGCAAACTACTGTTAGCAAAGAGGAAACTATTGTTATTAAATTTCTCAGGTACACAGAGAAATTCTAATGGATAATAAAACAAGCAACAAAGTTTATCCCTGGTCTGGTGCTGTGTCACTGCATGCCAGGAGTTACATCTCAGCAGGGCAGTTGGCTTGATCAGTGGGCATCATTTTCTCAGTGTTGATCTTGTAGGACTCGAGAACACTCTTCAGGTGCTCCACGGTTTCTGGGTGCATGTCAGGAGCTCTTGACAGAATCCAGGCATAGTCCATGTGGAAGAGCCAGAGGATGTTAGTGCAGGAGTAAACCAGGGAGTAATTTTCATAGTCAGTGGAGATGACCCAGTAAGGGGCAGCAGGCATGACTAGGAGAGAGGAGGGCACTGTTACTGCCGTGTGTAACCAGCTCTGGACAGCTCTGCAGCACCCCAGCCACTGTTGCTGGGACTGTTCCCACTTTGGCTGCTGCATACTTGTGGTCAGTACAGGCAGCTGTAATTTATAAAAACCTACCAGGACTCCTTATCCTGCCCATAGGAACTTGGGAAAGACACAAAGCCCTGACTATGAAGGTCTTTCTGGAAAGCTATGACCTGAACAACTCTCCTGGGCTGATGAAAGCCAGCCCAGCCTCACCAGTGTGGGGGTGCTGGCTGCCAGGAAGGAGCTGTAGTGCTGGGAGCTGACACTGGTGATAGGAGGAGCACAGACCACCACCCAGTGCCATGGGGAGCCCTGGCCCGGGGAGCCAGCTGAGCTGCTCTCTGGGGCTTGCACCCGGTGAAGGTGGCTGGGGCTGCACATGCTGCAGGTGAAATGGCTGCCAGTGATGCTGTAGCAGCACAGAATTAAGTCTGGCTGTGCTCATGGAACAGTCTTGTACTGCCTTTGCATCTACCCCTCCTCCACCCATTTCTCCAAATAACCCCTCTGCAAAAGAGAGCTCGGAAACTGCAGACAGAGGAAAGCGCTGTGCAGCGTGGCACAGCACCTCAGCAGGCCCCTGTTGAGTGTTAGAGTGACAAGGGAGGGAACAAGCTAACAAAACCATATTATTAATGGTTATTAAAAGCCACTTGTACGTAGAGGCAGCGTGGGCAAGTAGCTGTACCACTTGTGTGCAGAGAAACAGGCTTATTCTTGGCTCTTGCAGCACTGTGGGGCTGCCTCTGCCACCTCCCCACCTCCCTGTCCCCATCTGCAACATGACCTGGAGGGACAGCAAGGCTGCTGATCTTTCTTGCTTTGAGATCAGCTGGTGAAGAGTTCTCCACCACTGAGGGGGCTGTAAATGGCATATCAGTGTCACCAAACTACTGCC